CTACCGAAGACTAATATGTAGTCTAATGTATTTGTCTTTAGTCAATCGACCAGACATTTCATACAGTGTTGCCTACTTGAGCAGATTTTTAGATAAACCAAGAAAAAGTACATGGGAAGCTGGTAAGAGAATCCTCCGTTATCTTAACTACACCAAAGATCACGGTCTATTGTTTCAAAAAGGGAATATAAATGAATTGATTGGCTTGTGTGATGCAGATTGGGGAGGCGATGGTGAAACTAGAAAAAGCGTTAGTAGTTTTGTATGTTTTCATGCCAAAAATCCCATTGCATGGCATTCACGAAAACAGTCATGTGTAGCTCAACCTTCAATGGAAGCAGAATATATCTCAGCCGGAATTGCATCTCAAGAAATGATGAACAACAAAGGACTTCTGAGTGATTTCAATATTTGTGAACCAGTGGTACTAAAAATTGACAATGTAAGTGCAATTTCTTCAGTTAAAAATTTTGAAAACTCCAAGTTGTTGCTTATTAATAGTACCCATACCTTTTATTAAAAAATACTGAAAACTTAAAGTGATTGAGTTATTATTAATGGAGTTATGTTTTTTTTTTTTGAAATAATGATGTTTTTTATTTAACAAACAATTTTTTCACAAAAACTCAACTCAAAAACTAAAGTGAGTGAAAAGTTGAACTTTTGAGGACTTTTTTCTAAAGATTTAAAGTAAAAAATACTGAAAACTCAACGCGATTGAGTTATTATTAATGGAGTTATGATTTTTTTAAAATAATGATGTTTTTTGAAGTAAAACTTAACAAATAATTTTTTCACTCAAAAACTAAAGTAAGTGGAAAGTTGAAATTTTGAGGACTTTTTCTTAAAGATTCAAAGTAAAAAATACTGAAAACTCAAAGCGATTGAGTTATTAATAAAGTTGTGATTTTTTTAAAATAATGATGTTTTTTGAAGTTAAACTTAACAAATAATTTTTTCACTCAAAAACTAAAGTGAGTGGAAAGTTGAAATTTTGAAGACTTTTTCCTAAAGGCTCAATGTAAAAAATATCAAAAACTCAAAGCGATTGAGTTATTATTAATGGAGTTATGATTTTTTTTAAATAATGATTTTTTCTAAAGTAAGACTGTACAAACAATTTTTTCACTTAAAAACTAAAGTGAGTGGAAAGTTGCAATTTTGAGGATTTTTTCCTAAAGTTTCAATATGAAAAATACTGAAAACTCAAAGCGATTGAGTCATTATTGATGGAGATATGATTTTTTTAAAATAATGATATTTTCTGTTGTTTTATAAAGTAAAACTTAACAATTTTTTTCACTCAAAAACTAAAGTGAGTGGAAAGTTGAAATTTTGGGGACTTTTTCCTAAAGGTTCGATGTTAAAAATACTGAAAACTTAAAGCGATTGAGTTATTATTGATGCAGTTATGTTTTTTTTTTGAAATAATGATGTTTTTGAAGTAAAACTTAGCAAACAATTTTTTCACTCAAAAACTAAAGTGAATGGGAAGTTGAAATTTTGAGAACCCTTTCCTAAAGGTTCGATGTAAAAAATACTGAAAACTCAAAGCGATTGAGTTATTAATAATGGAGTTATGATTTTTTCAAAATGATGATGTTTTTTGAAGTAAAACTTAACAAACAATTTTTTCACTCAAAAACTAAAGTGAGTGGAAAAATGAAATTTTGAGGACTTTTTCCTAAAGGCTCAATGTAAAAAATACTAGATACTCCAAGCGATTGAGTTATTATTAATGGAGTTATGATTTTGTTTAAATAATGATTTTTTGTAAAGTAAGACTCTACAAACAATTTTTTCACTCAATAACCAAAATGAGTGGAAAGTTGAAATTTTGAGGACTTTTTCCTAAAGGTTTAATGTAAAAAATACTAAAAACTCAAAACGATTGAATTATTATTTATTGAATTGTGATTTTTTTAAAATAATGATATTTTGTAAACTGAAACCTTTACAAATAATTTTTTCACTCAAAAACTAAAGAGTGTGGAACGTTGAAATTTTAGAGATTTTTCCTAAAGGTTCAATGTAAAAAATACGAAAAACTCAAAGCGATTGAGTTATTATTAATAGAGGTATGATTTTTTTAAAATAATGATGTTTTGTAAAGTAAAACTTTACAAATAATTTTTTTACTCAAAAACTAAAGTGAGTGGAACGTTGAAATTTTGAGGACTTTTTCCTAAAGATTTAGTGTAAAAAATATTGAAAACTCAAAGCCATTAAGTTATTACTCATGGAGTTATGATTTTATTTGAATAATGATGTTTTGTAAAGTAATACTTTACAAACAATTTTCTCAGTCAAAAACTAAAATGGGTGGAAAGTTGAAATTTTGAGGAATTTTTCCTTTAGGTTCAATGTAAAAAATATTGAAAACTCAAAGTGATTGAGTTATTATTGATGGAGTTATGATTTTTTTAAAATAATAATGATGTTTTGTAAAGTAAAACTCTAAGGTGCATTAGTTAAAAATATTTTTGATTATGCAGGGTGTTCCGTACATGGGGTATACGACAGAACTTTGTTATTTAAAATGGAACACCCTATATCTTAGTACAATAATGGATCGTTCTAAAAATCCTACATACTTTTTGTTAGGAATTACCTATACTAAAACTCAACCGTTTTTGAAAAACCTATTTAATATTTTTTTCAAAAAATCGTAGTTTGCATGTGTCAACAAAAACCAACATTTCATTCGAGATCCTTAAGCTAAATCTTTTGCAGGTTGTCAGTGCATATCTACATTTACTTCAAAGAGTCCTATGAAAATCTGATAACATAATCAATTGAATGCATGTTCACTATTGTATTTCAATGGCATAGAATTAGTGATATTGTTCAATAAAATCGTCTAGCTTTATAGGAAAAATAAGTGCTACGTGTTGTGGCGTGTTTCCCTCAAATCCCTAATAACTTTTGAGATTATCGCAGTTTATTAGTATTAGTAAACTTTGGTATTAGGTACATCAACACAGAGAAAATCGATTATTATAAAAGTCGTTAGTTGATGTAGCAATTATTTTCCTGATTTTTTCTGATTCCGGAAAACAACCACTAAACATATAAGCACGGCAGCTTTTCATCAGTGGCATTGGGAAATGGTTTCAGATAATATTTGCTTGATTTTGACCTTGCCATTTGGACGCCACTAATTTTTTTAAGTGAGAGATTATTACATAATTATTACAGTTTAAATAATGTTGAAATGTCAATTAAGAAAAAAAATTAGAAAAACTTAATTTGAAAAGTACCTGAAACTGTGACCTGAAAATAAGAAAGATACTCTAAACAAATACTCAGTACTCCCCAAAAAATGAAACTTTATTTTCCTGGACAACAGTAAGGAACACACTGTACAATTACACCGGTGTATAATATTGTAGAATTTTGTAATAATTAAAGTTATGAGATTCTGATTAAAGGTATGAAAATTTAAGTTAAAGATAAATTTTGATATTGAACAGGATTGTTAAATACTTATATATAGCACTATTTGGTTGAATTGTACTACCCTAAATAATTATATCACGGAAAACCTGGGGAAAATTCATGAATCTTCGGGGTTTTGGGGTCTTACTCAAAAATACCTGAATAATATACGCAATAAAAATAAAATAAAAAAATACCAAATCGGCTATTCACATTATACCTTAATATAGATAAATCATTATTTCAAAAACTAAAAAAAATGTAAGAAAATGTTTGAAAGTTAAAGCATATATTTTTTTTATTTGGTTTTTCACTGAGCTGCCTTAATCTCTAGCAAACCTGTTAGATTTTCTATGCATCCATAAAGTCCCAAATCTGGCTTATTGGGCTCTGGACGAATTCGAAGCTGGATATTTTCTGGTAAGAGTAGAGATCAAATGGGCGCAAAGTGGACCTGAACTACAACTCGGACTAGTTGGTAATTGCACGGGTTGGATCTTCCTAGAAAAATTTGGAGACATTTTCCTCTTGGGCTTGACTCTGATCTTATCTGAATTTGGATTTGGACTCTGATTTGGACTCTGATTTGGACTCTGATTCGGACTCTAATTTGGACTCTGATTCGGACTCTAATTTGAACCCTCCAATAAATTAGGAAGTGAAAGTTCCAATGCGAATATCAGCAGCAATTTAATGCCAATCGAAAGCAAACTGGATAATCAAAAATGGATCTATAAAGATAAAAAAAAACCATAAGAAGATGTTAAATTCTTACCACGAGGCACGTGCAACTTACGCGAAATAATCATCCCAAATAACTCATAAAATCGCTCAAGAACCATAAATCTCGAAACTGGATCTACTGAGCTCACAAAATATTTTGTGGTCTCCGCCAACTTCTACAAATCTTGATAAAAATCAAAAGGGCGAAACGGACGGATTTTAGAGTTTTCAAAGCTCTTGACAAAGGTTCCGTGACCACTGGTACCAAAACGAAGCCTCCCTGCTACAACCGTGAACCAAGTTCAAGGCGGTGGGAGATCCCCCCAAAAATATTCGCTGAACGGTGACAAGGCCAGCCGTAATTTAAAATAGACCAAACACCAGGATTGGATTTAACTGTGATGGAAAAATAAAAAAATTTGAAAATGGGTGAGCAAAGAGAAACTCCACAATAGCGGAATCTGAATTGGTTTTGGGATAGATACAGGTAAGTTTTTATATCACAAAAGTAATCGGTGATTTGTCTCATTTTTCTTTTATTTATTTATTTTTTTTCTTTCTAGGTTCTTGAAGACACCCATAAGAAAACAGAAGTTAATGCCAGAGATTTCTCAACCAGAATTTACAGTTACCAAGATAAACATATTGTTTATTCATTAATTTATTTAATTATAATTAATAAACATTCTTAAAACTAAAATTGATTGTTTTACTATTTGTTCCAAAATTGTAGCATTTTATATGAATTTAAATTAGAGGAAAATGAAAATGCTACATTGATTGTAAAAATTACTCGTTTATAACATAAATATGAAACTTAAAATTATTGATATACTTACTAGATCTTTGATTTTTAATAAAATAGATTTGCAGTCGTTCCTTAAAAGTATTTTCATTGACGTAATATTCTACTCGGACCCTGAAACAAACAAAAAAACAACGATTAGACTCGAGAGCTTCCACACTTAAAACTAATTTACTAACTTTTTGGAATTACTACTTCTTGTCGACGTCTATATTAAAAAGACTTCTCAGTTTTTTTTTTCTACAAAGAGTTAATAGGATAAATTACGTTTCTCTAGGGTAAAAGTTTTGATGTTAACTCAGAATTATTGTAATTTAAGGGCTAAGGCGAAAGATAAACATTATTATTTAAATTTGGTATAATGTGGCAAACCTGAGCAGGATTGTATGAGATTGATAGACTTAGACATTTAATTACCATGTAAATATTAGAACATGAAGAAGACCACAGGTTTATGTAAGCTACTTTCTTTAGGCGGAATTATATTTTTTGTTCAGTAAATCTTGTTTTTAAAAACTATTTATTTTATTAAAAACTAAGAAATTACAATAAAAATTATTAAACTATAAATTGCTGCGGCAAAAGCCGAAAATAAAAGAATCTTTGATTCTAATTGCTATAGTCTAAGCTAAATACAAGAGAATGAGACAGAAGGCTCTGCGCGCCGTATTTATATTAAAATACTGCTGACGGTGCAACTGAGTGGGTGAAACCTTGATACGACGGTACTTTTCCAGGCTGATTATCCCTTACTCAGCAGCTTTATAATAGGCCTGTTCGCACAGGAATCACAAACCAGTCAGAGCGAATTTCATTGGTTGAAAACAATCAGAAACAGTCAGAAAACTAGTTTCAACCAATAAGATTCACTCTGACTGGTTTGTGATTTCTCTGCGAACAGGCCTATTATAAAGCTGCTTTTACAGTGGCGTATGCTTATATTTAATATTGAGAAGGAGAATTATTTGTATAATAATAACATATAGAGTTTTATAATAAGTATAGCTGGCGTACAAATATTTATAATAAGTCGATTTTATTTGCCACGAAGAAAAATAATATCGCTATTTCCAAATCGACTGATCACCACCAGCAAAATATCACAACTTTCTCATCCTTTTCTTACTGATAACACCTAACCCTATTTGCTCCGTCATCCGGCATTTTTTTGTTGGGTAGGTGCAAGGTGCAAGTACATAATATTCTTTATAAAACATTCACTTCTCTCTCAATCATTACATTATCTAATTTTCAATGTTGTGCCTCACAATTTCTAGTCTTAAGACCCAAGAAGACTTAAGGCCCTTCAGTAGCGTATACAGGGGGGGGGGCAAAGGGGGCAATTGCCCCCCCCCCCCCCCCAGAGCGACAACATTTCATTCCTTTAGTTTCTTAAAAATATCTCAAATACCAAAAAATATTTTTTTTCTAATCGCGTGCGCAAAGTTATTACTTTGTACACTTCTTTACGTACGCAAAGTTGAACTTTGAGCACGGAAACTCCTTGCGCACCATTTTTGTTTCGCATAATTACCGTATTTATACGAGATCAGTGATTTATACTCGATTTTTCAATGTTTTCTGGGTTTCTGGATAAACTTATATTCAACAAGAAGGGCTTGGTGTTATTTTTGTTCCAAGAAGGGCATTCAGGTAATGGTAATGCTTAGCTTTCTTAATTTCACTCTTTCCCTATGAGGACCGAAAGGAGGAAAATCCAGCAAAAACAGGTGCGATGTCAGGTGACCAACGATGTCATTGGATGACCATTGGCGTGGGGAGCCACCAACTCACATTCTCTTGGAGTATGTATATACATACTTTCCAACCTAATAGTGTTGCGGAAAGAATGAATCAGACACCAATGGACAAAGCAAGATCTATGATAATGTAAGCAAAAATAGATAGGATATTTTGGGAAGATGAAAAATATCATCCTGGTAAGTTCAGTTTCAAAATTTGGCAAGAAAAACAAATTTTAAGTAAACCTTGGTAGCTCAATCACAGTTGCAAAAAAAGTCAAGCTGATCACTGAAAAAAAACATTGAAAACACAGCACATTGAACTAAGAGAGAAAATTACCAGCTTTGAGCATCTGGGAAACATTTAAGAAGATTAGGTACAGCTCCTCTGGATGCTATGCAAATTTTCAGCACTCGTAGAAAAAAGTATTGTGAAAATAAAACATCTCATTCAAATCTCAAAACCCAACTGTCATTTATTTACAATTTTTATGTTCGTACATTTGTCGAGTGATACCTTATTTTGAAGCTATTTTTATGTAGATTATAACCCCCGAGTCTTATATCGCTACTATTTACCTCTAGCCATTACAGAGGCTAATTAAAGTTACAAAAACATGTTGGAACATTTTTATTTAAAAAAATGCGTTAAAAACAAAATCAATCAAGTAAATTCTGAAAATAACCTCAGAAGAAAAAATCTTACGGGCTTAAATCTGGAGAACGCGGGGGCCACTCAATAGCTCCTCTCCTTCGAATCCATTGTCCTGGAAACCTTTGGTCCAAATATTGACGAATCACTGCAGCATAGTGGGGTGGCGCACCATCTTGTTGGAATATTAGACGATTTTCCATGTATCTGGTTATCATTCTCTAGTATATCCACCAATTCTGGATGAATCGCATTTTCTAATCACTCTAGGTACATTTCTCCTGTTAAATTTATAGGTAAATAAGGGGTCTATTATACGGTTACCAAAAATGCTAGCCCAAACACTCAATTTCTGAGCTTGTCATGGAAAATTCGAGGATTTGAGTCGTTCCAATAGCGGCAGTTATGGCGATTTACGATGCCCATTTAAAAAAAAAAGGTACATTCATCGGAAAAACAGATATTGGAAATAAAATTCGGATCATTGGTTGCTCGCTCACTCATAATTTCACAAAACTGCAAGCGCCGGTCAAAATCGTCCTAATTAAGTTCCTGCACCAGATGTATTTTATAGGGATGAAACTTGTGGACATTTGTCTCGTACTTAAAGTAGGATCCAGAACAATCTGCCCTCAGTGGCTCTATTTGTAACTGCGTTTTCAATAACCCGTTTTTTGTTACATAGGTTTCCTGTTGCTCGAAATTTTTGAACTAGCTCCAGAACATACTTCTGATAGACATGCTTGTCTTGGTGACGCTGATTGATTAGCGCACTGACTCCAGAAGTAAATTTCAATGATTTTTACCCTTTCGGCAAGCGAGTAAACCATTATTACTTTAAAAAACTCACTAAAGTTAATAATAAATACTCAATATCGGCATAAAAACTGACATTAGCCTACAAACTTACTAACTGGTACCTGCTGGTAGATTCTAAATGCTCCTTCTTTATTTTATGTCGTGCCAGTTTATTATTTGAAAATAATAACCCTATTTCCAGGTATAATACGTGCGAAATAACGTCCTAGGGCATTATGGAGATGTAGATTATTTCAGTGTTTGGGCTAGCATTTTTGATAACCGTATAATAGGCCCCTTTTTTACCTATAAATTTAACAGGAGAAATGTACCTAGAGTGGTTAGAAGATGCGATTCATCCAGAATTGGTGGAGATACTAGAGAATGACAACAGATGCATACACTAATATTCCAACAAGAACCAGATTGTGCGTCACCCCACTATGCTGCAGTGGCTCGTCAATATTGAGTGGCCCCCATGTTCTCCAGATTTAGGCCCGTTAGATTTTGTCTTCTGGGGTCATTTTCGTCATTTAATTGATTGTTTTTGTTTTTGGAGCATTTTTTAAATACAAAATATTCCAACATGTTTTTGTAACTTAAATTAGCTCCTGTAATGGCTAGAGGTAAATAGTAGCGATATAAGACTCGGGGGTTATAATCTACATAAAAATAGCTTCAAAATAAGGTATCACTCGACCCCTCATTCCATTTGAAGTTTTGGGGGCCCTTGTCACCCCCGCTAGGGCTTTGCCCCCCAGGGGGTGAAAACACCAAAAAAATGGTTCCCCCTTAAATCAAAAATCGACGGATACGAGGGTTTTTTCTTAAATGTCTTGGGAAGCCCAAAATCACCTCTGTTTCATTTTCAATTGGCCACCCTGTATATGAGAAATCATTGAATTTTTTTAAAATTTCACCTGGCTGCCAAATGTCGCCATTTTTTATGTATACTTTTTGACCAATATTAAAAGGTTGCTGGCTTTTTGTAGATCTATCAAAATACTCTTTTTGAATTTGCTGTCTTTTGTGCAAGTGCTGCTTTTGAATTTGGACATTTATATTCTTAGGTTTTAATGATTGCTTTGAAACTGGTAAAAATCCCTTTATTTTTCTATTAAACATGAGTTCAGAAGGTGATGGAATTAAATTAGAAATTGGAGTATTTCGATACTCTAATAGGGCCCTTTTAACATCTGTTTTTTCAAATACACATTTTTTAATTATATTTTTTATGGTTTGTATGCATCGCTCTACCATACCGTTCGACTGGGGATACAATGAACTTGATGTTTTATGTTGAAAATCCCACATTTTAGAAAATTCGGAAAATTCCCTACTTACAAAATTTGGTGCATTATCTGAAAAAACAATGACTGGTACACCATGAATAGAAAAAATATCCTTCAAATTCTCTACAATGCAGCGACTTGTTAATGAAAAAAGCTTTCTAATTTCTACAAATTTTGAAAAGTAATCAATTAATATGAGATAGTGACATTTTTGAAACTCAAAAATATCAATGCAAACCTTATGCCATGGATAATCAGGTATTTCATGCGGATTTAGAGGTGATTTGGGATTATTTTTCGAAAATCTAACGCATGTGTTACAAGATAATACAGTTTGCTCTATGTCTCTGTTCATTCCTGGATATTGTAAATTCTTTGTACAATATTTAGTTTATTAATGCCTGGCATACCTATAATGCATGAACCATTAACGTTAACAATATGAAAATTTAATATGTAAACACTGTTTTTATATGTGCATTTCAATTGCACACTGCCCAAATCCACGATCGATTTGTCTGTTACCGGGTTCCAACCAAAAGTAATTAAACAATATACAAGTACATATATGACAAGTATTGTTCCTAACACTAACTGCTTTTTCGTGCGGGAAAGTAGCACTTTGCGCAC